ATATTAATTTATAAAAGAATTTTTAAAGTCAATGGTATAGTCTTAGACAAAAGAAATCAATCCCTAACCTTTGATCAATCTCAAGTGTGATTGGGGCTTTTGTGGCTTTTGTGCGTTGGTTCTGTAATACCCCGTATTTTTATATGTATATTAATTTAAAGTATTATTTTTATGATGTATTTATATCATTTAAAATGAATTATTTACGGTATTTTAAAATTTAAAAGGGTTACTTTAATTAAAAACCCATTTCTAGAAACTTTGGGGCATATTTAATTTATAAAAGATTTTTTAAAGTCAATGGTATTTTAAAGAAAGTCAAATACCAATTTGAATGGAAATGAGAATCATTAATGGTGTGTTTGGATAAAGAAATGGGAAAGAAAAGAAGGGAGGGAGGTAAGGGGGAGGGAACAAAAAGGAAGGGAGGGAAGAAAGATGAGTTTTCCTTCCAAATCTCTCCATTGTTGGAGAGATTAATTTCTTATATCTTAATCCTTTCGTTTCTCTCCCCTCTAATTCCCTTCCTTGTTTATTTGTTATCCAAATGAAAGATAATTCATCCCTCCATTTCTCTTCCCTTCTTGTCCCTCCATTTCCTTCAATCCAAACAAAGTGTAAGGGTAAAAAGGGAAATTAAGTTAGGAGGGTTTTGAGAGGGAGTATAAATACCCATCTTATAAGCAAATTTATACTTTGCCCAAGATGGAGAATACCCAAAGGTAACTCTCTTTCTCTTTCCTCTTATTTTTCTCTCTTAATTTTTCCCCTCTCCTTCACAAACATTCACACACACGCACCTAACAGTGGCCGACCACCACCACCGCAGCCACCCACCGGCCGACCACCGCCACCAGCGAGCACCGGCAGCAGCCAGCCACTGGCGGAGGCGTGGCAGCAGGCCCCCTTGCCGTGTGTGCGTTCGCAAGCCAAAAAAAACCTTGCTTCTTCCAATTTTAATTCAATCTAGCCTTGTTTAATTATTGAATCTGGGTGTGTGTGATTATTTTATGATGTTTTAATAAAAATTAATATGCATATAATTTCCAGATTTGGTTTTGAATGAAAAAGCCCCAAATTGGTAAACCCTAGGTCTCTAAATTGATGTTTATTGATGGAATTTAATTGTGGTTGATTAAAACTATTAATATTAGTGTTTTTAAACTACATTACAGCAAGTTTAAAAGTTTTTATAATGCTGGAATTTTTATATAGAGGCTAGAATAAAGTTTTCTTGAAGGAATTTTAATTACCCTTTAATTGGGAATAAAAGTAGATGGTTTTAATTAAATTTCAGCATGTTTTAAAAGGTTTAAAAGTGTTTTATAGAGTGTATATATTGCTGGAAATTTAATATGAATATATTTAATGTCTCTTTGAAATTGTGGGTTGTAGGAGACTTCCAAGTGAGTGATTTCGTGTAGTCGTGGCGATTTTGAGATCATATTCGAGGTACGTACGCGTACTCGATATTATTTAAGCGTGTAGAAGCATGCCAGGATTTATTATTATGATTCTAAAATTAGTATCATGTTAGGAACTTGTTGGAATAGGTGATTTGGATTGAATTAATTGAATTGGAATGATTTTTGGCAAAATATTGGTGAAGCATGATTGGTTGAAATAATATATTTATTAAAATCGGTGATATTGGAATGTTGTTATTGAACCATACTTTTATTGTCGGCATGTTTAAAGGCTTATTTGATTAAACTAAATGTTTAATTTGGATTGGAATATAAAAAGGGAATTTTATTATGGTTCATATAATTTTTTTAATGCTGTAAGCATGGAAATTGAGCTAGCAAGTGTCTTAGTACAAAGGAATAAAAGGAAATGCGGTGCCTAAGTGCACTTAAGGTGTACTAAACACCGAGGGATAGGATTTGCGGTGCTTTATGCTCTTAAGGGGTTTTAACACCGAGGTAGTTTTAAAAGGGTTCAACATTAAATTAAATGTGATCACTAATTATTTAAGAATTAAATTGGAATGTTTGATTACTTGAATGGTTTATGTTGATTGATCGTATTGTGGATTAAGAGTCATCACCAAGTTTAAAAATATGTAATAACAAAAAGTGAAAAAGATTGTGCACCAAAACTCTTGGAACGTATATACCTTGAGTATGAACATATGGGGGGAGTTATGTAACTTTATATTGATCATAAATTCTATTGGGAGTATAGGACACTGTGTTTTTCCTTTTATTTTATGCGCAGGGTGTCCAGTCACTTCATATGACATTTATGCCTACCCGGTTAGCTCTCGGAGTAGTTTACCTCAATTTATTTAGGGCATAGGATTTGGTGGGAAACCTGTTCGATGCGTAATCAAATTAAATAAGAAATTTAATTGTTCATTGATTGTGTTGTATGATGTATGCTTGTAAACAGGTGTAAAAAGGTAAGTTGTGTGATGCTAGGATGTAAGTATGTTAGTGTAATTCGTTTACGCTTATGTACTCAGCATTGCTGATTTTGTGTTTGTATGTTTGTTTGGCCTTGTCTTTATCTTGGCCCTACGACGACCCATTTCTAATGGCGAGTAGTGGGGACAAAGTAAAGAGAAGCTTTTCAGGCGATGAAGCATATTCATGATAGGCATGAGTGAAGAGCGAATCTTGTTTAGTTCCTATAAGGATATGATGTGTTTATTTTCTTTGATTATTATATATATTTTCTTGTGAGACCAACGCAATGGTTTTAAGTATTTGTTTGGTTTTAAAAGGGCCTACAATGGTTCCATGTTGTAGGTTGACTTTGTTTCACTTTGGTTTGACTTTACTTTCGTTTGGTTGATTTCTGAAGTTGGTTTTATTTTGAATGGTTTTAAAACAAGTCTTCCGCTGTGTGTCTTTGATAATTGCCTTAGCCATTTTCACGGTGGCGGTAATGTCTTAGAATTTCCTAATTCGTATTTTAAAAAGGGCAAAAGCGGTATTTTAAAGGAAAGGAATTTCTAGGGTGTTACAAAGTGGTATCTAGGAGCTTTGTAGATTTTTATTACCGCTAAAGCAAAAAACGTGTTTTAAGGTATTTTGTTTAAAACTTGGCCAATTGTTTATTTAATGAGTTATTTTAAAAAGTAATTTGTTTTATTTTATTTTTTTTAAGAGGACCGAATCTTTTTTAGAGGGAAGGTCCGAAATTTTTTTTAGGGAAAAATCGGAATTTTTTTTTATATGGGGTGTCCGAAATTTTTTATTATTATGGCCGAAAATTTTGGCCTTATTTGGGTTAATTTTTGAAAACTTTTAAATAAAAAGGGAGTAAAAAAAAAAGGCAAAATTGGCCGCAACACCCTAAAGTATGGCTTAGGTGCATTGAGCACCCTGAACTATGCGTAGTAGCCAAACACCACCGACTATGGTGTTAGGTGCGACGTGTGCCTTAAATGAAAATTTCCGGCCACTTATTTCATCGGAGGAGGTGAATCCATGCATGCTAAGTGGATGGAAGACTACATAACTGTTCTAGAGAGTGAAGATTCACCTCCTCCCGGTGAAATAAGTTGCCGGAAATTTTCATTTATGGCATGCGTTGCACCTAACACCATAGTTGGTGGTGTTTTGGCTACTACACAAAGTTCAGGGTGCTCGTGCACCTAAGCCATACTTCAGAGTGTTGCGGCTAATTTTGCCAAAAAAAAATTTTTAGTTTGTGCATTTTGCAGGAAAGCGAAGGATTAAGGTACGAATTATGTGTTAAAAGTTTTAAAAGTATGTTTATGAGCTTAGATAGGAAAGAATATGGGCATATAAGTTAGAATTATTCATGCTCTTGTATGCATTAATATTTAGGTTGTGATGTTTGATCATGTGAATTGAATGATGTGGAAGCATGTAATTATGTGATTAGGAGTAAGATTGTTTGATTGAACATTGAACCTAAATTCATGCAAGAATTGTGCTATTTAATTTTATTTTCTTTGGAAGGGAATCCTTTTCTAAACCTTTTCCTTTACATGATGCCGATCTTTCCTAACAAAAACTCACAAATTAGAACACTAATTAAGAAAGACTATGAACATTCCTTTGACTGTGTTAAGAAAAATCCGCTTTTTATTGTTCACACCTGAGTGATGTCCTAGGAGACAAGCCGTATGATCTTCTTAATCGTGTTTCAAACCATGATAATTCACTGTCTTCCTGATGAACCCCATATCTTGCTGTTAAGATAAAGTTTTCTGAATTCTACTTGCCTGGGGACATTCCCAACTACTCTAAATATAAAGACTATTATGGACAGTGGTACCCTAACTATAGATATTTGATTTCTTACCTCGTTCAAGTTGAGAAATATCACTGTGAAACGCTTACAGATTCCACATCAAAATTATTATTATGATAACCCAGCAGAGAATAATTCCCCTTCTACAAGAAACCAATCGGGAAACATCCCATCACAGGGCAATCAAATAGGAGCAAATGGAGGGCAAGAGGAAGGAGAGCTAATGGAGGAGAGTGACTATACTGTTGACAGTTCCATTATGGAAATCTCAAATCCAAATCTAGCCCCAACCCCAATAATTATTGAATTTCATCTGACGATGAGGAAAATGAAGAGTTTATTCAAGTAGAGCAAAATCTAGAGACACCTGAACCAATGGAGGAGGAGGAGGATGACCCTGAATTCAATCCCGGAAGCTACAAACAATCAAAGGACAAGAAGGATAATGTTCGAAAGGACTAGATTTTTGTAGTTTCACTTTTTATAGGATTTCTAGTTTCTTTTTCGCAGTCATAGTTATTTCTTTTCCAGTACAGTAATAAGTGGCATGGCCACAATGAGTCAATAAACCTATTAATTTGCGTAGGTTATTTGAATTCATTTTATTTTCCAGTCATTCCTTTATTCACTAGTAGAAAAAAGCAAATGAGCTGCCCCAAATGAGAAGCGGTTATTGAATTCCTCTTCCAAAAACCAACAAAAAAAAAAAAACTTGAAACATACAAATGGGGAGCGGTTATGGGTAAACCGCTCCCAAATATTGTAATTAGAAGCGGTTTTGAACATTGAACCGCTCCCCATTTGCCAAAAAAACCCTAACAATAATAGTTTCCCCTCATTTCTCACGCCTTCTTCTTCTTCTCTCCCCTTATTTCTCACACCTTTCGCCTGTCTCCTCTCCTCTCTCCATCTCCTTCTATCTCTGCTCTCTCTTCTCCTCTCTCCATCTCCTTCTCCTCTCTTTATCTCCTTTCTTTTCTCTCTTCTCTTTTCATCGGCCAAAACAACCACCGACAACCACCCCATTAACATAGCGATCAACACCCCATCAACACAGCGACCAACACTGAGCAACATCGAGCAACAACGAGCACTACCAAGCAATAACGAGCAACCCACCGAGCAACAACCACCGAGCAACATCGAGCAACCCATCAAGCAACAGCGGCACACCAACAACAACAACACCGACGACGCCCATCGAGCACCACCAGCGTTTTCATATCTAATTTTAATTCAGGTAAGAATTCAGATCTAGTTTAATTTTTTTTTTTTCTAAAATTTATCTTCTAATTTTATGTTTGATTGCTTTGCCTCGGTTAGATTTATGGTTTATTTGCAGTTTTTTAGTTGAAATTTGGTTAGGGTTCGTAAATTAGTTGATGGGATAATGAATTTGTTTCAATTCTACTTCAGTTTATTTGCATAATGAGTAAATTTGTTGAGATTTGTTTCAATTCTGTGTCAGATGCGTTGGTGGCGTCAGATGGGTGGTGGCTTCAGATGTGTGGTGGTGGCTGAATAGCAGATGCGTGGTGGTGGCTTTAGTAGTATTTTTTTTTTTGAATTATAAATGTAATTTTTTTTTGACAAATTATAAATGTAATATTACAACAACTTATTAATGGAAATATATATTTTTATACATATGTTTTTTTGTGTACCAATTTTTATGAAAAAAGCAAAAAAAAAAAAAAAACATTATTTTTTTTTTAATTTTTTTAAAGGTATAATGGGTAGCAGCTAAGGCATAAACCGCTTCCCATTCCCTTCAAATGGGAAGCGGATTGAACCGCTTCCCATTTAAAAAGGGTATTGGGATGCCCCTAAGCCCAAGCGGTTCAAATCCACTTCCCATTAGGGGTTTTGAACCGCTTCCCATTTGCTTTTTTTCTACTAGTGATTCATAAATAATATTTATATTCATTTCCTTGCCAAATGATCCATTTCACTACCAAATAATTCATTTTGTTATCAGATCATTCATTTCATATCACTACTTCAATGAGCCATTTCTTACTCAAATGTTCCAATAAATCATTTCCAAACTCTGGTAAACCATGAGAATTATTTTTTATTTATTATTGTGATGCTTTATTAAATGTATGGTTGGTTAGCAATAAAAAATGTGTTGATCAAGCTGCAAAATTTGGGAGTTGTAACTTTTGCAACCTCAACCTAGTAGCTTAAATTAAATATGTAAGTATGATTGGTGTGAGGAGGGTAGCTCGTTGTTGGGGATCCCACTTCCTCTATGCCCATGGCCCTTTAAAAGACTAGGACTTTACACTTTTGAAGGTGTGTTATGATTTGAATTCTTGATTGTTTGGAGGACCTTGAATTAGAATTGATTCTATCATTACGCTTTTTTGTAAGAAACTAATAAAGAGTTGCCAATGAGTTTTAGGAAAACTCATAAACCTCGTTCATGCCTTTCTCCCAAGTAGAGTTCAGGGGATATTTAGCATGAATCATAAGTTTACCCATGCCCAAATAGGTCTACTTGTACCAGAAATGAGTTCGGGAGCAAGGGTAGTAAAATAACGTTCCCTTTAGAGGGGAATTGCTATCTTAGCCCTAGTGCAGCCTCTACTAGCTCTTCCTTTTTCACAAATTTATCACCGAACAATATATGCAACGTAATACCTAAAACTAAGTTAGTTGATTTTATTTACACACGTTAATCACATAAAGATTACATTACAACGAATGTCGTTATTCTTATCTAGTCCAAATTCGTGGAAGAACAAAAGTAAACAAGATTCGCCTTGGCTTAAGTGCTAAAATAATCAATTAATTTGTTCAATTCTAGTCTTGTTTTAACGAAAGAATACTATGTCAAATTAATTAATTAAATGTTTATTTTAACGTGATCAAACAACACTAATTAATTAATTAATTTAAGTGATTTAGAGCAAGAAAAAGTAATGTGATTTAACTAAGCGCTCGGGAATTACCACTTTTCCTTGCTAGATCTTCGTTTGGAATGTTTATGGACGTAAACCTTCTTGTTGGGGAACCTTTAGGCTATTTTTTCTGTGTGCTTTGACGTATTGAACTTCTATTTATAGGGAATGGGTAAGATTAGGGTTTCGGAGATTCTGCCGCAGCAGGTGGCGCACACAAGTGAAAGAGTTGTGCTGCTCTAGGCAGCGCGATCTTTAGTCTTGCGCGTGGCTCTATGATAAGATTTGATTCAGTATATTTTTAAAATTCTGAATCTTTCGTAAGCTCATCTCTGAAGTTTGCGCAGGTAGTCGCGCGCGCCAGGTAAGCCGACTTTTGATTTGCGCGTGGATTTTCCTGCGGTAGCCCTAAATTTTAACCTAGGCGCTCTAAAACCGTCCAAAATTAGGTTTAATCTCGGGATTAGGCCTAATTTTTGATCGGGCTTAGTGTTAATGAGCTTTAGTTCATTTTTTTTTGGGTCAAGCTAGCTAGTTTTATGTGTTTAGGCTTTAATTAAGAGTTCATAAGCATTCCTTACTCCAATCCAGCACAAAGATGAAATTATTTATCGTCATAGTACTTTTGGTTGGGACAGGGGACCAAAAGTAGATGTCTACAGATAGGTGTCTAACTTGGCAGCTAACCATGACCATAATAAACAAAGACCCCTTGTTTTAATTCAGGAGAAGGAAGATGGCATGAGGTAGTGGAAATAATAACGATGGAGGAAATAAACTAAGTGAAGTGGTATGGCAAGTTGGCCGTGGTTGCACAACAGTTAGCACGATCAACAATGGGGATACTTAGGGGGAGCAGTTCAAAAAGGTGGCACAAAGTAAGCCACCAACCTATCAAGGAGAACCAGACTCAACTGTGTTAGAAAACTGGTTAAGGGAGTTTGAGAAACTGTTTGGGGCAGTATGGTGCCCAGAAAATTCTTAAGTAGGCTGTGATACCTAATACCTTAGGGGTGAAGCTGACCTTTGGTGGTAACAAAATGAAGCTACCATTAAGGCACTACCTGGTTTTAATTGGACTATGTTTCAAGAAAAGGTGAGGGATAAGTTTTACCCCAATTTCCTACAAAAACAAAAAGCTGAAGAATTTTCTAACTTAGAAATGGGAGAGATGTTAGTAACTGAGTATTATACCAATTTTATGGAGCTGTCAAGGTTTGCTAAAGAATCTGTTTCTACAGAAAAAGCTAAGAGAAAGCTACGAAGTTCGAGAGTGGGTTGACTACTAATCTCCAACTGAAACTGTGTGGACAAGTGTTTGAAACTTTGGATGAAGTATATGGAAGGTCTGTACACCTCTATGATTTAGAGTTGAAGAATAAAAGGAGTTAGTTGAGGCGGAAGGAAAGAAAAAGAGAAAGGAGATAGGACAGAGCTCTAGGAACCATCAAGGTAACCAGAACAATTTTAAGAAGCAGAAATACAACCACAACAACAACAACTTCAACAGCTACAATAACTTCCATGGTAACAATCGTCCGAGTGGGTAAAACTTTAATGGAGGAGCTAATAACTCTAACCAAGAAAATAACAAAGGAAAAAGGCATTATTACTGTAAAAGGTATAGGAATGATCACCCTGGTAGATAAGACTGCGACGGTAACTTGGTTACTTGTCGTGCTTGCAGCAAGTTGGGCCATAGGGAATATGAGTGCTTCTCCAAGGATCCTAATCGAAACAAGCAGGGCAACAATCAAGGAGGAGATCAAAGGAACTTTCAGGGAAGCAACAACTATGCAGGAAACAAAGGTCCACAACAAAATGGGGGGTGAAAAGCAATAATTAATGGGAATAGTCAGGTGAAAAGTGGAGCTCCAGGAAAACTGAAAGTGATAAGTGGGTATGAAGCTGATACCACGAAGGACGTTATTACTGGTACTTTCTCTATTAACTCTATTCCTGTTGTTTGATTCTGGTGCAAATTTTTCTTTTATTTCAAAAGCCATTGTTTCAAAACTATCGCACTGTTTGAAAACCGTATATGTTATAAATGTACCTATAGTTATTCCTACGGGAGGGATAGTGCAGTGTACCAAATTTTTTAAGGATGTACCATTTAGAGACCAAGGGAAAAGTGTTTTTGTCTGATCTTATCGAATTTGGGTTAAGCGACTTCAATATCATCTTGGGAATGGATTGGTTAAGCAAGTATAATGGAGAGATTCATTGTCGATCACAGAAAGTACAGTTAAGTACAGCTGGGGGTGAATTAGTAATTGTAGACACCTAAAAATGTCTCCCCTAAACCAAACCCGATGATGAACAACCTTTCCACCGCAATTATTGGTTGGGTCAAGTATTTAATCTCAAGAGTGCTTAAAATCCATATTCAATCAAACACAGTCAACAAGTCAGTCCACATTTTTAGCCCAAATGTTTATTCAAGCATAGTCTAACCCTCATTTCAGCCCAAAGCCTTTTAATACATTTCATTTCATTTGTTAATTAAGCCCGATTAATGAATTAAAACCCTAAATCTGAAATAAATCCGGAACTCTGAAACGACGCTTAAATTATCTTGTACATAATGCAAAATATAAAGAAAAAATGAACTTAGACGAAATTCCAGAAAACTAAAACGTCGCGCCACGGCAACATCTGCCACGCCACGACAATTCTGCCATGCCGCGGCGGTTGCTTCCATGTCACGGCAATTTCTGTCGTGACACGACAATTCCTAGCTTTAATTTTTTTGCGACGCTTCATTTCTAATGTTCCAGACCTCGCCCCTCTCATTTCCTCTAAAAATAAGAGACTGATTTCTCAATTTCGGGGCACCAAATAGTTCTCTCTCTCTCTCTCTTATGCTCCAGCCTAAAAACTTGCCTCCCTTATTCTTTCACAATACATCCCTAAAGCACTTTCCGGATTCCTTAGGACTTTACCTGAAGTTCTATACTTAAACCAAGGCGTGAAAGGTAGAATTGTTTGAGGGTTTGGCCCCAAATCAACTTTACTTTTATTTGATTTAATTTCCATTATTGTTTATTATTTTCCTTGAAGTTACTAACGCGTTTATTGTTTTATAGTTGCAAGTAAAAGCAATCAAAGTAAGGAATCATGTTCCTTTTGTTCCTATTATATTTCTAACGGTTTTTGTCTTATATTAACTGCTGTTGTTATGGTTAAATTGCTTCCAATGTTGATGTTTATTGTATTACATTTATTGATCACCGTATTGCATGTTAAAGAGAATATGTAATTGAATATCACGACTAATAAGATAATTCGGACAACCGGTTTAGGTTTCTTTTTAATCTTGTTGTTGAAAAAAGTAATCACTAATATTTTAGAATTATTTGTTGCATTAATATTCAACCAATTTAGCCTAATTTTGTTTAGAGCGAATTGAATCTTTGTTTGTATGCCTTTGAGATCGCAGGAATTACTTTTCACAATAAGAATCGAGTAGAGGCTTATACGGGCGAATGTGACTCCATGACTCACTTCGTACCATCATCCCCGATCCTCCTTTCGTGGTTCCAAACCATATGGAGTTAGTAATCTCATGGATTATGAATGGGGTGTAACCTTCACGAGTCATTCATTGTTGCCTATCGTTGTCCCTTTATCGTGGTTTCCTTAAATGATCGGTAAACGATTTACAAGTTCCTTAAAAACTTGTCGGCGGCTCCCTACTTTCCTTGTTCCTTAATCGTATAATGTCTATTCCCACTTCCT